TTTTTCTTTGGATGCGAGAAAAACCGAATAGTCCTTGGAACTTGCAATGCTTAGACTTGGAGCGTTGAGGTCTTACAGGCTGCTATTAAATAGGTTTTTTTTTTTGCGAATGCCGAATTAGAAATATTGATCTGTCAGTTGAAAAATTTATTAATCCTCTCCGACGTCATTGCGACGACACCCTTTAAAAATTCTGGACCGAAGAGAGATCTAGACACGTCTTTGCGTAGAAAATTTCACGGTGTGCGCCACATGAATGGGACATCGCCCCTTGTGTGAAAGCAGTAATCACGCCATTCAGTTCGCAATAATAGCTTGCCCGGATGCTGATGATGATAGTAACACTATTAAAAGGAAGTAAACACTCTTGGCTATGAAGCATTTAATTGGATCACTCCAATACTATTAATACAGTGCCTCTTTTTACCCCAGTAGTCTATTGAAGTTAGGAGCTAAGTTAAGTAAACTCACAAATTTTAGCCTAACGGGTTCTTAAAAAACAAGTTCTTAGTCGTGGTTCTTTACTGTGTTACATGTTATTTTTCGGCAGGTTTTGCGCACACGATCGTTTTGTCAAAGTGTTATTTCAACCTTTCATATTCATTTCTAAATTAACAGTCTTAACACAAAGGGAATCCCACACTTGAATAAATTTTTTGCTTGCCTGACCCTCTCTTTTGAGATATTGATCTGACAAAGTAGTTGCCTATAATTATTAATGAACATCAACTAACTTAAAATTCAGTCTGAGTGCGGACAAGAAGCCGTTTTCATTTGTTTGTCAAACCAGGAATGTCTTGTTTTAATGTTTATCTCAATGTTGGCTGAATACAGCCGCCTCTCAAGGCTCCTACTTGATATAACGTGGCGAGAAAGCCCCGCCTTCTAAGTGCGTTAAGTGCGGTTCACTTCCGATTTGAGTTTATGACGTCATCTGCTATCAATGTACTACTTGATATAACGTGGCGAGAAAGCCCCGCCTTCTAAGTGCGTTAAGTGCGGTTCACTTCCGATTTGAGTTTATGACTTCATCTGCTATCAATGTACAGCGCTACAGATCGTTCACGACCGGATGGCCTACATAAAAATAGCCTGAATCGGGTATAAAGCACTTTGGAAAGGTCACCAGCAGTCACGTATAGTAGAGTAACTTTTAATAGTTAATGACAGGAAATTTACATGCAAAAATGAGCTCAAACAGTCCAAATGTAAATTACATAGAAAATTATATATTTGAGTGAGTTAAGTCTAGTGACGGTCATATGACGTACTGAAATATCAATCTAACCACCAAAGTAAATGAAAAACTCGAGAAAAAAAGCAGTGGCGGATCGAGGGGAGGGGTCCGGTGGGGAAGGGGGGGCTTATTTTTAAAACAAATTGTGCCCCGGAGGGCCGAAAAAAAATTTTTTTTGAGACCGCCCCCCCCCCCTCCCCTCCTTATCTCAGGGTCTGGATGACCGGGCCCCCTGCATTATCTGAAGGTCTGGATCGGCCACTGAAAAGAGACAATGGGGAGCTAAAGAGGGCATGGATGAGCTCAATTCGAGAAGTTCAAAATGTCCTCGGTCAGGTTATTTTCAAGATAAATGAGGCAAAAAAAAAAATGAGTATTCCAATTCTCGGGAAGAATGAGGCATTGAAAAGAGTAATTTACAATTCTTAGCAATCACCCTTGTTTGTTATGCTGCTGTGATGTGGTCCACGAAAAAAGAAAACTATTTTTGCCCCTTAATAAGGAAAATATGGTAGCATATCAAGTAAACTTAGATTCTTAATATAAATTAATGATTCATAGCACGTAGTGAATTGTATATCTGCGGGAGGAGGTTAAAGTTCATGGCTGTACCGCCAACGCAGTGAAAAAAAAAATTGTGTCATTAAATTAGATCACTTTAAGGCACTTGATGATGGTACACAGTCAACTATCTCACCAATAACAACATCACGTTTCATGAAGCTTAGAGCTTTAACATTCACGATTTGTTCAAACTATTAGGAAACAATTGTAGCTTGTCAACTAAGGTAAAAACACACAACAGAGAGAGCATTCAGCACTTATACCGACATTGCTTGCTAAGAAACTGCCCAAAATGCCTGCGCGTGCGGTCTTTTCTGGAAAAAAAATAGAATATACTAATAGACTGAATAATTTCGAGTCTGCAAATAAACCCGCTGTCCGCACGTTTCTGCCACTGTCGCCGTTGTGGGATCCTGCCAATCGATGGGCCTGTGAACAGCCGCCACCTCCCCTTCCCTCTCCGATTTTGTTTGAGGGGATGGGGCGGCTGTACACAGACGCATCCATTAGCAGTTTAGGGACCTCAAGATCCCTCGACGTCGTCGTTGCGAAGAAACGGCAAAAAGGCTCGGCTAAAAAGGTGTGACACACGTGCAGAGTTGTTGTGCAGTTTTGCCTGTGAAACTTTTTCCTTTGTTAAGGTTCTCGTTACGTGACCGTCGTCGAATCTTAAGGAGTGGTCCCTTGTATAGGGTCCCTTCCGATCAGAGGTGTCCGTATGTGAGCATTAGTGTGGCAGACAATATTTTGAAATTACTATTTATTCCTGGAAATGTACTAAGTGTATCATAAATAAGTTAATAAATACAATTGCTTTATCAAACTCGAAAACATTCTGTATAATTGGCTAAAGCTTCAACATTTTATCTGCGTTAAAATGAGGCTCATAAAAACCACTGAAAACAAATACAATTAGCTATGAGATCAACATTCACTGCATCAAAAGGAATGTGACCTACGTGCAATTGCTGTGTCAATTCAGGCTCTTGGCCCTCGTAACGTTCTTTTAAACTGTTTAAGTAATTTGTTTCTAATCAACTAACTAAATAAACGGACTTATCGATCACTATTTCTGCATACCATTTCTTTTGAACGTTCATAATTTGCCATGTTCACCCAGAAAAAAAACGCTCTTGTAAAATTATTTTAAAAAATAACCACTTTCACTCTTAGAAATTAGGCATAACGAAGGACGACACTGGACAAAGTATTTTGTTTTGTGCTATTTACATTCACGAAACATCCAATTTTAGGCTGTCTAAAGCCACTGAGGGTGCGTTTCCTGGCGAAAATTCAAAATTACATTCTTTATTGATTCTTTAGCTTGCCATCAATTGGCCAGTTTTAGGTTGCGTTCAGAGCTTTACGTCTCTTTTTGATTTTACTTCCTTGAAGAAAGTAAAAATAGTTGTCCAAAAAGAGAAAAATAACAGGGAACTTTAGCAACCTCGACGACGATTGCAACGTGGAAAACAAAAAGGATTTTATCAGCAAACTCTGAAAGTGCATCACACTTTAGAGCACATTTCTGTGACATCATCTAACTACTAAGACGTGAAACGTTTACGAAGGACGTGAACACAGGGCGACGAATTTCCTTTTCGTTCAGGGTTCGTACAGATTTTTGATCCAAAATTCAAGACTTTTTCCAGAATTTTTCCAAAACAATAATTTATATTTCCAGACTCAAGGTTATCAAATAGCTTTAAAAAAAACGCAGGAACAAAGCTTTTTCCATGACATGCAGGCGAGATTGAATAAGATTTGATAAAAAAGAAAAGATTTCACTTCTGAAGGACTTTTTGTACGGCTTTCAAAAAAAACTCAAGACTTTTTACCATTTAATCAAGACTTTACCTCTATTTTCCAGACTTTTCCCAGGTCTGGAAAATTGCTGGGCAAATTTCGAGACTTTTTCAAGAATCCAACACTCTGTACGAACCCTGCCGTTTTTAACTTGGATACGGTCATTCACAATTCAACTTCAGCAAAAATTCGACTTCATTTAACAGAATTGAGCGAAGCTAAATAAACACGATAAACTTTGAAATAATACAAATTCATTTACTTCCGTGTCGTGGTGGTTGCTAAAACTCCCTCATCATATCACCACAAAAAGCTGCAACCGCCACATTGTATCATGTTCCAAAAACTTTGACACCAGCGTAAATTGAATTCTAGTCTTCACCACGTAAATATAAAAAACGTGTCCACTCAGAGTAGAACTGACATAACCGAACGGAATGTCTTCATTGCGGGCTGAAATCCCTGAATAATCAAGGAATGAAGAAGTGATAAACTTGACGTCTGGTCAAAGCTTGAGCCAATCCCGCACATCTACTTGAAGCCACAGTTAATTCATTTCCGCTAACCCACATCTTGGGCAGACTCTCCCTGTGCAATGTTCGTCTCTATGCATGATATAATCTTTGCAGCTTCTCTAATGCCACTTAGATAAGCTCCCGTAACCGTCTGCGGGAAGTGACGATTGGTGGCCTAAAAAACATCAACAAAAGGCGATACAGAATCTAAGCAATGAGAAGGAATTGATTGCATTATGGGGAGTAATTTCTGAAGAACATACAAAAGTAATTTCCAATATTTCTTGACTGTTTTTCAATTTAATAAAACACGGCCAACGATTCAACACGAATTTCAGTTACCAAGAATGATGCGATTTAGGGCCTGTTTACATGGAGGTGGGGGACCCCACGTTGATGTGGTGACCTGCCTGTCCATATAATCTCTCAAATGGTCACCCAACCTATTATATAAACGTGATCAAATTAAAACGACAGATTATATGGACAGGCCGGTTACCTAACCTACCTAGGGTCCCCTACCTCCACGTAACAGGCCCTTAGAGCACAAAAGATTGGGGTCATGAAAAAATCGCCCTGCTGCCGAGAGAACCAACATATTTCAAGGATCACCAGTAATTTCAAAATGGGTGTAAACAGAAGCATGCTTTTGGTGTAAAACAACCTTAGAATGCTCGGCTGCGCTTGGAGTTGAAAACATTACAGAACACTCCTGATTCCATATTGCTTGCTTGAATCATACCTCTCCAGCAAAAAAGACCTTGTTCTCAATATCACAGGCGAGAAGATCGTATTCTTCTCCAGTAGAACCAATAGGTATATATGAGTATGCCATGCCTGAATAAGGATCTCTACCCCAATGTGTTACGATATAAGCT